TTTCCTTAGTAATTTAATTCACATGACCACAAGAGCTCTAACCACATGACCGAATCTAATTGAATATTTAACAAATATGTAACTAGGGTTAAGAAATTCATCTAAAATACAAAATACAGCTTTGATTTCCAAATGCATGTGAAATTCTACTCAAAACTTTCTCCTTATGACAAATCTTATCAAAAATCAACCCAGCTTTGATTTCCAAATTGCTTTTCAGCGCATTTCGAGTCAACACATACCTTTTTCTTCTTTGATTCTGTCAATGTCTTCGGCCTCTTGTCTTCAAAATCATCGTCCGCCATTTTCTTCGCACTCTTCTTCTGCTCGTGCTCTATCGGACCATAATCGTATTAGCCGCGTTAGATTTCTGTGTGTTTTTATGGTAAATGCTTTAGGGCAGGATTTAGAAGGCGGTGTAGATTAGAGGGAGGGTATTTTTGGGATGGCGATGGAAATTAAGTCCTATTTGGGGGATTTAAGTTTTGGAGTCCTATTTAGGTATATTTGATAAGTTTTAGTCCTATTTCGGTTTTTTCCCGAGATGTAACCCCCTTTAGAGTTATTCAAGCAATAAACAAATCAAACCCTAATCCCTTCTCCTCTCTCGGTTCGCCGATTCTCTTCGTCTCAATTCTTCTTCTTCTTCCTCGTCCCATATTCTCAGGAGCTTGAAGACGCTCTGAGTCTTCCCTATCCGATACGTTGTTCGTATCATTGGTGCTTTCATTGAGAGTCGAACTCACCAAAAAAAGGGGTCCAAAACAGCCGGGAGGAGATCTACACGCCGCCAGTCCTTTTTTTTCCTCATTGCTGCTGCCGATTGAAAAAAAAACCATCTCACAGGATCAAAGCCCCAATAGCCGAAGAGCTGCAAAAAGAATTTCCAAATTGGAATTCTCCATGTTTTTGCCGTAAGAGTACCTCCCTGAAGTTCTAAACTCCATATTATATTTGTTGGTTTGTGATTTTGGTTGGTTTGTGTTGGGAGATTAATTCAGTCTACGTGAGCGAAAAAAAGCTGAATCCTTCAAAGTTTCAGCGGCACGATCGGAAAAAAGAGAGAGAAGTGTTTTGCTGCATTGTTGTGTTGTCTCTAAGGATTTACCTTCAATTTTGAGTGCATTGATTTTTTTTGGATCTCACTTGCCACAACTATGGCTTCGACTTTTGATAAAATTATCAGTGTGATGGACATGGCTTTGAACGAACTTCTTGGTTTATTAAAGAAAATTTTTTATGGAAAAAATGAGTTCCACGAAGGAGTAGGAGTAGCTTATGATCATGTGGATGAAATTTTGAAGACGCTCCACTTATTTCGTCATCTTTTAGATCTATCGTATTCTGATTCTGAGTTGTATGCGTTCAATGTGGAAATCTCTTGCTCGATACAAGATTTGGTGCGTGGTACTCCAATGGTATTGATTGATATTCCCTTTGAGTTAAAAAGTTTCAAAATAAGGATGATGAATGCTATAAGGAATCTTCTCGGCATTCCCATGGCTCCACCTGATCTGGTCCCCACAACCACTCTACACAATCCTACATCTACTGACATGGAATCTGTGGAGCGTACGATTGGGGATTCAGTGAGAGTTCCTGCAGTTGATGTTCATGGTGATTCTGTTGAAAATATTGTTAATGCCTTTCCATCAGATCTTGTCGCTGTTGATACGCACGTAGATGCACCGGGTAAGGGAGAAGTTGCAAAGGATCCAACATTGAGCAATGTCATCATCGCATGTAGCCTTGTGCCTTCGTCCAAAACGGCCCAAGTAGCAGATGTAAATTATACGCAAGCAGACATCTCACTGTCCTTTGATATCATTCAGTCCTCTGCCCATGCGAATATAGTGGAGTCCGAGTATTGGGTTTCACTGCCGGTAGCTAAGTTTGTATTTGCTCTTCTCTCTTATGTCCATCGCTATACTCCAATTTGCAGGCTTAATGAAGATCTATCATCAAGTGGGCATAATCTTTGGGTCAACATTTTCTCTCGAGTCTCGAAGCATGAGTGGGAGCCTCCACCTTGAGGACAAGGTGGTTTTCTAAGGGGGTGAGAGTGTTATGGATAATAGAGTATGATATTTAGTATTATTATTATTATTATTAATGTAATTTAGGTTTTATTAGGTGAGCGGAATTATAAGCTCCTTCGAGGTTTCTTTACGGTTCTTTCCCTCGTCGCTTTTATTGAACCGTCAGGTTAGCGTTAGGGTTTCCTTCTTTCCTATATAAGGAGATGTAACCCCCTTTAGAGTTATTCAAGCAATAAACAAATCAAACCCTAATCCCTTCTCCTCTCTCGGTTCGCCGATTCTCTTCGTCTCAATTCTTCTTCTTCTTCCTCGTCCCATATTCTCAGGAGCTTGAAGACGCTCTGAGTCTTCCCTATCCGATACGTTGTTCGTATCACAAGGCTGACGGTGATGGGGAGGCTTACGGTGGCGGCAAGGCTGCTGCGAAGATTATTGGAGCAAAGGGCGAGGATGGGTGTTGGCGGAGATAGGTGAAATGGTCTGTGAAGGGCAGGGGCGTTTTGGACAATTTACACTCAAAGTCAGCTCTCCATAAAAATGAAGAAAAATCAAACCGGGAACTTAAAATCCGGACGGAGGGAGTATTTTTCAGGAGAAAAATTCCATTGCCAACTTAACCACAAAATTCCATCACATCAAGAACAAAATTTGAAAGTTAACTACAATTTAACCATTCTTATTTTGGCTTTTGATCAAATTAGAAAATATTTTCCCACAGGAGGGAGTACATATATGTTGTGAATTGCTCCAAGAAACAGAGAAACAAACAAAAACTCGATCAAAGGCACCACCAAAAACTAAATGAAGACACGCATATAACAGGAACCTTAAACGAACGTATAAATGGTCATTTTTAATCAAACCATGCACGTGCAATAATAACATATATTTTGTGGTTTATTTGTCACTGAGGAGCAACTCTCTTGTAGCCCGAACGTGCACGTGTGAGGACGAAACAAGTGCGCATCACACCATAGCAAACCAACGAGGAAATAAAGATCTTGAGAATTAACAAATACGGTATCTCAACTCCGGAGTGGGTGCTTAGCTCACACTTTGGCAAATCGGCCGGCGGCGGAGGAAGCTTCGTCGACGGCGTCCGCCCATTCTCCACCACTATCGCCGTCGACAATCCCCACGACAAATGCACGTCAAGATGACAGTGTAACAACCATACTCCTGCAACATTCATCAGTTCATCATTTTAATAAAAAATGTGTTGCATCAAATAATGTGTACGTAGTAAAAGTGTGACAAAAAAAAGGTTTACTGCACCCGGGTTATCGGCTCGGAATCTAATGGCGGCCCATCCTCCGGCGGGAACTGCGATGGTGTTTCGTTGTTGTGGACTAAACAAGTTGAACTTCCCCGGGTCAACTAAAGGGTTATAGTTCCCGAACCCCTGAGCCAAGACGTAGAAGTTGAAGCCGTGCAGATGCATGGGGTGATTCTCCGCCCCGATCAACGCCGTGTTCTGAAACACAATCTCCACCGTCGAATTGAACTTGACTTTCCTCAATCTAGTCGATTTCACCGTCGCCAGTAACGTGGCGTTCAAGCTGTTACTGGCGTTCGTGTAGTCAAACTTCGCTGGAGGCTGGTCAGGGAAGTCAGTGGTGTAGACCCCGTTGACCTCACCCCTGAACATGGCCTCCAGCAACGATAGTTTGGTCGGCAGTTGGAAGGAGGCGTTGTTCATGCTTGCTGCCAATCGCTGACGGTTTATCCCTCCGCTGCAGGCGGCGACGTTGTCCCCGCAGTCTGCGAGCCCGAGCCCGATGGTGATCAACATTTTCTCGTCCACCTCGCACGGCGGGGCGGACCAAAACGGGCCCGTCACGAGCCCGGTGAGGTTGGAGTAGAATCTGTGCGCCGTCGGAGTGTCGTTGTACAAGGGTAAATCCGGCATTTTGGGCGGTTCAGACGGAACCGCCCCATGGTATTCCAAAACACCGGTGGTCGTGGTGTTGTCGAACACCGCATTGGCGGCGCTGGCGTAGGGGCGGGCCGCCACGTAGTATTGGGCGGGCGGCTGATCGGCAACGAGAAGCACGTCGGCGGTTTGCCCGGGGGCGACGACCACCACGTCGGTGTCGTAGGGGGCGGTGTATGCGGCGTCCACCGCCACGACTTTGAAGGAGTGGCCGGCGATCTTGAAGAACAATTGGTTGTTGAGTGCGGCGTTGATGATGCGGAGTAGGTATGTTTTGCCTTGTATAACCCTCATCCTATAGGTACCAGGCGTCTTAGAAGTGGAAGAGCAATTGTAGAGACCGCCGGGGTAGCCGTTAATGGTGAAAGCGTCGGAGATGTTAGGGGCACCACCGCGGGCGATGGCTTCGTTCTCTATGTCAACTACATTGGCGTTCCACCACTCTCCTGCATCCATGTTATTTCTTGATCATTAATTATATATTGAGTCAATTTTTAAAAATAGAGAAATTTATTTAAATAGGACTAAAACATAATGACTTTCTCGACCATATGTTTTTATTTTCCAATGTAGGACCTTTGGTCATTACCAAGTAGTCATTATTCAACTAAATGTCCATCGTTGCTAGACATTATTCCTTCTAATAGGTTATTATTAAGTCCTATTTAAGGAATAAAAAAGTTTAAATCATACATTAGGAAAGTCATTATGTTTTAGTCCTATTTAGTGCAAATTTCACTTAAAAATATTCTTTTTACTAATGAGTCGTTTTTTCAAATTGACCATCAATAATCAAATAATCATTACTCCTTCCATTTCAATATTCATTACAATACAATTTTAAAATTACGGGGCAAAACTCTGGGTTTTTTGAAATTATTTTATTTAAAAACTGATATAAAAATAAAAATAAAGCTTACATACTTAAAAATTTTATCAAAAAATTTATAAAAAAAAGAGGTGATACAAATATTTTATTTTATCAAATAATCAATAAAAACATACAGATAAACAAAAATTATTAATTGAGAGGTGAGAGAAAAAAATTATAGTGTAAATGAGATATTTTTCCTCGATAATTTTCAATAAATAATAATTATTAAATGATACTCCGTTCTTTATTATTGACATTTTTTTCTATGATAGTCCTCTGACAATTATGGTGATAGTATAATAATTACCTAAGAAGGATGGGTTGAGAAAAATATTTAATTACAAAAGATTATTTTGAGAACTTTCTCATTCTTTAGATGATGAAAAAAATACCAAAAGAGATTACACTAAATAGTCATTTGATAAACATATTTTATGAAGGACTATCAAGGTTATAAATTTCGACCATAATGTACAACGTAGGTAATTATTTGTTTATTGAGATTTGATTTGGAAAAAAACTCTGTTATAAAGTACTCCCTCCGTTTCTCAAAAGGGTTCCTCTTTTGACTTTGGGGGAAAATAAGGAAGTGTTAAATTGTAGTTGACTTTCCAATTTTGCCCTTGATGTGATGGGTAAAAGTAAGATGTGATAGTTAGGTTATTAGTGAAAAAGTATGATGTGATAGGTAGGGTATGAAAAAGTAGGGGTAAAAGTGGTTTTTTAATAGAAAAGGGAAGTGTTTTAAGAAAAACAAAAAAAAAATGAAAGAGGAAGGGTTTTAAGAAACGGAGAGAGTATCATTTTGAAAATTTATTCTTAAGCTCGACTTTTTCGAATGAAAGTGAATGAATTTTAATTAATTTTCAATCACAACAAATTCACATTGCAACTCTGATTGTATTCCTTTTATACCAAAATCTAACAAGGAGTAACATTTTTAAGAGTAGTTCATTAAATGTGCAAAATTTGTTTAGTTTGCTTTTTATTCAAACAAGTCAAATAGAAGAGATGTGACATTATTAAAATGATTTAATTGAATGAAGAGGACACTTGAATAAACTAAATGAAAGGTAAGATTAAATTACTAGCTAGTTCATTTGGCAGTGTACGTACCTAGGAGGATGGTGAAGTCGTGGTAGGGGACAGGGAAAGGGTAAGAGCGACCCTCACGAGGGAGGATGACTAGTGCGCCGTGGACGGTGGCTCGAAGGACGGAGGAATGAGCGTGCCACCATAGAGTTCCCTCTTGTCCCCTTACGTTAAACCTGTATGTGTAGCGTTGGCCGGGCGCAATCGGGCATTGGGTAACAAATGCGGGTCCATCCGCCCATCCACTTAACTGTTGTAGAACTCCATGCCTATAATAAAAAATATTAAGAAGAATTTACCTAAATAACACTAAAACATAGTAAGTTTTGCAATGTAGTACTCTCTCCGTCCCATAAAAATGGGTACGCTTTGACTAAAGTAGAAATTAAGGGAGGGATAATTTTGTATTGACTTTCCAAAAATACCCTTGGGATGTGATGGGTAAAAGTATGATGTGATGTGTAGATTATTAGGAAAAAAGTATGATGTGATAGGTAGGGTTTGAAAAAGTATGGGGTAAAAGTTGTTTTTTAATAGAAATGGATAAGGGATTATGGGACGCAATTTTTTTGAAACGTGTAAATCTTTTTGGGACGGAGGGATACTATATATTTTTATTTCTTAATATAGTACTACTGTTCATTGTCTACTGATCATTATTGTTCAAGTAAATGTCCACCATTGCTAGACATTGTTCAAACTAAATGTCACATATATAAACTTGTGAACCAGTGTCTCTGAATCACGGGTTGAATTTTGAAAACTATGGTGTGTTGTGCTTTTGAAAAGGACCATTCTACACTTACACCAAAAAATATACCCCATTTGTACACTACAGGTTTGCACAAACATTTCGATGGTTTACACCGACACAAGTGTTGATGCGTTAATAAAAATTCACACGGACACAAATGTTGGTGCATTTAACAAAAATTAGTTTTACACCAACACAAAGTGTTGGTGCAAAACTGCGGGGTACAAAACTTGGGGTAGACATAGCAAAATCCTTTTGAAAATTGTGAACAAAAAAAAAAAGTAAAAAAGATGATAACTTTTAAAGTTTTTTTGAAGGGTAAAATTAAGAGATGTATGTTGACTTAAGAAAGTAAGATGAATGGAGGACGGACCAATGGATGGTAACATTGTAGGGTGAATGGTTGAGGACATGGACGGCGAGGGTGTCGCCTTCTCTGGCGCGGATAGTCGGACCGGGAAGGCCTCCGTTGACTCCGGTTATTTCTTGTCTCCGACATAGCCGCTCCACTGTAAAATTGTGTACCTGCATATCCATATATAATTCCTTATATATATATGATGAAGTGATCCAAGTACATACTCGTAATTAGTTATTCTCTTCAACCCCTTTCATTATTTTCAATTATTCAAGGGAGGGATGGGAGTACGTATGAATGGAAATGCAATAAAGATGACGGAGGCAATTCAAAGGTGATGAGGGAGAGGGAAGACTACTTACGTTAAACGTATGCTCTATAACTTCGGCGGACGCCACGCCCAGAAGAGAAAGGGCGGCGGCGGCCCATATTATAATGACCACATAAACAACTCCACTATGCATCTTCATTTCAAATGATACTTATGATAATGATGATGATGATAGAGTTCTCTCTCTCTCTATATATGTATATGTATATGTATATGTATATGTATATGTATATTTCCATGTCCAAAAATGTTTTTTCTATTTGACTTTTTTTATCGAAGTTTGTAAATTTTTTGACTACGATATTGGAAAAAATATATTGTATTACTCGGTATGATATAAATTTAATATCAGTATAGTCTTAGTGAAAAGTAGTTTTCAAATATCAAATTTTTATTAAATACGTCTATGTACTCCCTCTGTCCCAAAAACTTTTTTCCCTTTCTTTTTTTTTCTTGTCCCACAAAATTTTTTAATTTTCTATTAAAAAACCACTTTTACCTCTACTAATTATTAATCTATTATACCTATCACATTATACTCCATCCCTCTCATTTTAAATTGCTTGTTTGCTTTTTTTCTCCGTCCCAAAATAAATTGTCTGTTAGTTATTTTCGTAAACTTTTAAAAATAAAATACATAAACTACCTTTAAAATAAGTCACTCTTTTTCACCTTATCTTCTCATTCATCATCACCCCTCTTAAAAAGTAATGTCAATTTTGAAAAATCAACTCTATTTTTTTATTTTCCTTAAATATGTCCAAAAGTCAAAACGGGCGATTTAAATTGGGACAGAGGGAGTACCTTTTTTTACTAATAATCTATCAATCACATGCTACTTTTACTCATCACATTAAAAATATTTTTGAAAAGTTAATACAAAATTATCCCTTCCTTAAGTTTTCTAAAAGTTAAAACGACAATATCTTTATGGGACGGAGGAAGTATAAATATAGATAATAATATAATGTTGAAAGTGCGGGATTCAAAATCATGAAAAATCAAATGCGAAAGGGAGAGTAATAAGTACTACCTCCGTCTCATTGTCTTTGTCCACTTTTGACTTTTGGAACTGTTAATCTAAGCACTTTGACTCATCAAATTCTCTCAATGTGTAAGCCTAAAAATAGTCATGTGTGATCTTGTTTGATTTGTCTTAACATATAGATTATTAATATATAATTTTTATAATTTTTTTATATACAAATTACAAGATAAAATGGATTAAAGAAGTGCATTGGATAGTGTGCCAAAAGGTAAATGGACAAAGACAGTGGGACGGAGGGAGTAATTAACAGAGTAGAAATTCATGGTGGATCGCAAGTAAATGTACTAAAAGTCAACACACAGAACTAAGCAATATGGGCATCGGGTCAATGCCGGTTTAATTATATTGTTGCACTTGCATTTGTAGTTTGTACACTTTAATTGACACGTTATTGCAAGTAAATATTTTTTATTAATTCGGATATTTTACTTTGTTTTTTTATTGCGAAAGAATGATATACGAGGTCTTTCTTTTTTCTACTTTATATTCCTGCAATTTAGGCTTTTTACGTTTTGGTCCATGTTCAAAGTCGTCACATATCCTTTCCAGGTAGAGTGCACCATCCCCACATAATCAGCTTAACTTTTAATTAACTTAGAAATAAATGAGATTAAGAAAAAATGAAATTTTATGATTGAAATAGTTGCTCAAGAAAAACAAAATATAGACCACACACTTTTTTTAAAAAATTACTCCGTAATAAAAAGTACTGTACTAAACTATTTGTTTGAAACGAACAAAAAAACAAGTCAACCATTTTTTTAGAACAGGGAATATGATTTTCCTAAACTATATGCTCCGTATGGACCATATATGATTACCTATATTAGATTCATTTGAAAAAGAGTTTCATCCTTCGGCTTTAGTACTTTCAGAATATTATTTTCTGATATTCTCTCCTCCTATCGCCAATTGGTTTTAGGATTAAACTTCTATGGGCTTGTGTGTTGGGTCTATCCTATATATGAGCAAAAACAGGCGTGGGTTCCCCCTCGCTAGCTTTGGCCCACCAAATTTTTATCATGGTATCAAAGTAAGTTCGTTATAGGTTTGAATTGAAAACCATCAATCGCAACTAGAAAAATAAATTGTGGGGCCAAGCAATTGCACTTTAGGGGGTGGGGGTGTTGGGATTTTCATCCCACATCGAAAAAGAACCACCAAAATATCTGACATATAAGTTTCATGGTCTCTCCTCTTATCGCCAATTGATTTTAGGATGGAACTCTTATGGGCTTTGTATTGAGCCTATCACGCAAACGTGCATGAACGGCTGAACGGGTGTGTGTCCCCAGACTTTTATCAAAAGGTTTAAAAAATTAAGAAAAATGTGTACGTTTCAGAAATGATGTACCAAAAAAATTTATAATTTCATTATATACAAATAATTCGGAAGAGTAAAATTGATTGACAAACCATTCCCTGGAGCACGAAGGACCGTCCCCGGTGAATGGCTGACGACCCACGAAGGATGGTAAAACTCCATCCCCATTTAATTATTTGTCACGGCATATATCATGGTGTTTGACAATGTCTTGTCACGGCAGTGATCACGGTCTGGGCCGAGACAAGAAAATAGTTCTTCCCCCTCCCCTCCCACAAAATCTCGTGACAAGCAATGACAAACTCCGTGAAAAATATTGTCACAACGTTATCCGTGACAAAAACCGTGAGTAAAACACTGTTGTTGTGTAGTATCTAAATAGGAGTTCACGTTACCACTGTCATGTCACGTTGTCACTGGAGAATCGCCATGGGTCATTGACCGTATTTATAGTGTCAAACTCTTATTTAAAGGATAAAAACTGTACAACTCGTATTTTGATGTTTTGCTTGCCTTTTACACCTATGTAACGATATTTCTTTAAAAAAATCATTTGACAAATAAATTGTTAAAATATCCTTGGGCTAATTAGCATGAGACGGGGCACACTTGGGTAGAAGCCCAAACGCATAAGCCCTTAGGAGGATGTCATCTCAAAATCAATTAATTAGTGATAGGAAGAGAGACCACATTTCCAAGAGTTTATATCTTGAAATATTACTTCTTTTAACGTTCCAACATAAATTAAACTATAAACCATACAAATAAATTATTGCATGTTTAATAAATCTAGTCAATTCGATTGCGGAAAAAACTGCGTACAGATATATACTCCCTCCGTCCCAAAAAGATTTACACCTTTCAAAAAAATTGTGTCTCACAATCTCCTACTCATTTCTATTAAAAAACCACTTTTATCCATTACTTTTTCAAACCCTACCTATCACATCATACCTTTTTCCTAATAATCTACACATCACATCTTACTTTTACCCATCACATCAAGGGTATTTTTGGAAAGTCAACACAAAATTATCCCTCCCTTAATTTCTACTTTAGTCAAAATGAGTAACACTTTATGGGACGGAGGGAGTACTAAATTGTACAACAATATACTCCGTAATAATAACTACTTCGTACTCCGTAGTTAATTAACAATAATAATCACAATAACGTATTTGCATGGTTTTGGCAATTCTAATGCACACTCCGATCCGTATTGTAAAAAAAAGAATGCATATATAGGGCAGGGGTGCTGTGCATGCATGCAGTATATATAGAATATAGATATAGATATAATTATTATAAGCCGAAAAAACGGCGAAGTGTGGTTTTCATCAGGTAATCAACGACAAGGCGGTTGGTTCTCTCGGTGAGATGGAAGGAATCCCAGAACACATACTTGTTTGCGTCCGTACACGTCAACGGGTTCATCCCGTCACACAGGTAACTCATCTCTATCAGCCCTGTCCCGCAACAAGCTACTGTTGCCTCCTCAAACCCTGCACATACATACATACATACGTTACCTTCTATTTATAATATATACTCCGTATATATATATATATATATATATATATATATATATATATATATATATATATATATATATATATATATATATATATATATATATAGACACACACATTCAAAGAATAGAAAACATATTATGGTTGGGAGGTAGATGTTGGCCGCTATATACCCTTTTATGTATGGAGGAGTTGAGGAAGGTACAACTAACTCGGAGTATATATAATTTTGTTCCTCTTTAAATTCAGATGGGTCGAGAACAACTGATAGAGTGACGCAAAAAAGTTCTCATTTCTTTTATCATCCGTTCCAAAAAACATTTCTCATTTCCTTTTAAAAATTCACTTTTATCCCACTAATTCTTAACCTACCTATCACATCACAGTTTTTCTCTATTGATCTATCCCCCCATCCTACTTTATCCATCACATCAAAGGGCATTTTGGAAAGTCAACACTAAAAACACTCCCCTTAAATTTTCAAAAAGTCAAAACGAAAACTTTTTTAAGGGACGAAGAGAGTATTTGCTAATAGTATTTTTCTTTATTTTTTGATTTGGGAACTCTAACAGTTCCATAGAATTATTTTAATTTATTTTGAACAATAAGTTTTTTGATTTAACAAAATTTAATGCACTCAATTTCCCATTATATGGACATTTTTTTATACGTGAAACGATACTAATAAAAAAGGATGAGAAATAATAATTACTCCATCCGTTTGGAACAAGTGTTCCTATTTTGACTTTGTGTAAAAATAAGGAAGTATTAAATTGTAGTTGACTTCCAATTTTGCCCTTGATGTGATAGGTAAAAGTAAGATGTGATGGATAGATTATTAGAGATAAAGTATGATGTGATAGGTAAGGTATGAAAAAGTAAGGGTAAAAGTGGTTTTTTAATAGAAAGTGAAAGTGTTTTGTTGGAAGTGAAAAAAATGAAAGAGGAAGTGTTTAAAAAAACGGAGGGAGTAGATTTTTTACATATTGTATTGTTTGTAAGCATTTCCCCCCTGAGAAAGAATGGAAGAATTAGTTTAAACTTTAAAGGGAGGGGTATGCTGTCAACATTATTGTCACCAGACCAAATCTTTAGGAAGCACATATGACATATGCATGTAAGCATTAAAAAATGTAGGCCCCTAAAACATGCAAGTAGCTAGGCAGGGAACGTGGAAATTAATTGTTTGAGAATTAAAAAATACGGAGTAGTAGTCTGTATTTATTTTCTTCCTTGAACAAGCGAAATATTTCTTTTCTAGGATATTCAAAAATTTCTTTTTCCATTTCCTATTTTAACAAAAAAGTATTAATGAAAGAGTCATTATACCCTTACTTTTTTTCTACAGTATTCACTTTATTTCATTACATCAATTCAAGGACAACACATAGAAAGTATTTACATTTTTTTTAACTTTTTCTTAATCTTCATGCTGAGTCAAATTGACAAGAAATTTTTGGACGGATGGAATATTTAATTTAATGCCAATAAAGGTTACACTTTTGGAAGACTAAGGGGCTGTTTGGCAACTTCTGAATAGGTAAGTGCTGAACCAGTAAGAGGTCTGAACCATTAAGAGCTAGTATATTGCTTAACTATTCAGAGGCAAATGTCTGATCAATTCAGATAAGAGGTCTTAACCATTCAGAATCTGTATAATACTTAACCATTCAGAGGCAAATGTCTGAGCCATTCAGACATCTGAACCATGAAGAGGCCGAAACAAACAGTCTGAACCCTTAAGTGCTGAACCATTCAGACATCTGAACCATTAAGAGACTGAAACAAACAGCCCCTAACACTATCTTTGAGTTGATACATGAAACTTAAAAGAGAAAAAAAATTAAAAATAATATTTTTCTTATTTGGCTGAAGAAAAAAGAAAAAGAAATTGATGGAAAAGCAAATGTGGAGAGAAAATGAAAACAACTTTTCCATCCATATTGCTCTCTTCATTCCTTTTTAATTGTGTGTTTGACTTAGGGGCTGTTTGACAACTTCTGAATAGGTAAGTGCTGAACCAGTAAGAGATCTGAACCATTAAGAGTTAGTATATTGCTTAACTATTCAGAGGCAAATGTCTGATCAATTCAGATAAGAGGTCTTAACCATTCAGGCTCTGTATAATACTTAACCATTCACAGGCAAATCTCTTAACCATTTAGACATTTGAACCATTAAGAGGCTGAAATAAACAGTCTGAACCATTAAGTGCTGAACCATTCAGATATCTGAACCATTAAGAGGCTAAAACAAACAGCCCCTTAATTTTATGTGCACTTGCATGCACTTCTGTCAGTTTTGCATGTGTCTATAGTTAATTAAACTTGTAGATTTTGTTTTTATTTTATGAGTAAAACTAGAATCACAAACAAACAGTTTATAAAGTTTACAAATTTACATTTTTAATATTTTTCTAGAAATAAGATGTATTCAAATAATAAAAGATATTTTAATTTAAAATCTACAAAAAGCAAGTTTGTGAATTATTCATTTGTGACTTTAGCATTTTCCTTGTTTTATTGTTCTTATACTATATATGTTCCTCGTGTAAATATAGAGATTTACTATGGTCTACAGTTTTTAACATTTGACTTATAATTAAATAAAATTTATATTACACATTAATTAGATAAAATAATATTTTGAAAATATTTGATATAATAGATCTAATAAAACTATTTTTGTATAAATATGTAATATCATTTTTATTTAATTTGTGATCAAAATTTACTAATTTTAACTAAAAAAGAAAAAAATAGACAAACGGCGCGAATATCAATTAAGAGGAAAATTAAAGAATGGGAAATAGTTACCGTAAGCAGAAGGCTTAGTGATGATCTGAGACAAGATAGTGTAAACATCAGAGTAAGCAATTCGGATTCCGGGGAGCTCCCCGTTAAGTTTCTTGATCAGCAAATTCAACCGCCGGTTGAACCGGACAGCCACCGCGTTGTACTGGTCGTTGCAGACGCCGGCGGCATAGCCGCCGAGGAAGCTCACGGTCCTCTCCAGGGGCAGACACCCCATCGGAGGAAGGCCGCCGAGGGATATCTTCCGGGCGCCCAGCGCGTATATTTCCCTCACGAACTCCTCTGCAATTCCGATGAGGAACGCCCCAAATTCGTCGGCCGTGAACTGCTTCGCCCTCTTCCCCGGCAACAGGTAGTAGTTCTCCAGGAAGTCGTTCGTCCCCATGCTCACCAGGTACAGAGCTTCCCGGATTATTCTGTTCGCTCTCCGGTCGCCGGCGAATGCTCTCAGTTTCTTCTGGTAGTCCTTGTAGTACTCCACTTCCTTCCACAAGGGTATCACATTCTGCGCCACAACCGTTTTTGGGTTAGAATTAAACTTGTCTCTTCCAATTTTGACCCTTGACTCCAATTTTCCTTTTTGACAAAAACATAGGGAGCTTATGACCAAGTTGTACCCCAACCTTTGACTCAAAAAATGATGCTCTCCCCATTTCTTTAAACCCTTTTCATCTTGAATTTGGGCTAAAATAAAAAAAGTGTAATTTTGGTTGACTTTTTAATTTTACTCCTGATGTGATGGATAAAAATAAGATGTGATAACCAGAGTATGAAAAAATATGAGTAAAAATGGTTTTTTAATAGAAAGTGAAAATGTTTTAAAGAATTGAAAAAAAATGAAATGTAAAAGATTCTATGGAACGGAGAGAGTATATTATTATTGTTATTATAATTATCAATGCTATAATTATTATTTTTAGTTTTTTATTATATTACTCCCTCCGTCCCCCAGTTTTTGTCCATTTTTGACTTTTGGAACTGTTCATCTAAGCACTTTGACTTATCAAATTCTCTCAATGTGTAAGCCTAAATATAGTCATGTGTGATCTTGTTTGATTTGTCTTAACATATAGATTATTAATATATAATTTCTATAATTTTTTAATATACAAATTACAAGATAAAATGGATTAAAGAAGTGCATTGGATGGTGTGTAAAAATGAAAGTGGACAAATATTCTAGAACGGAGGGAGTATTAATATTATGAGGTCGGGGTAAATGAGAGAGATATGCACTAATAAATGTGAGGAAGGTATGTATAGCTAGTAAATGAGAGGATGTGAGTTTTAAATGCTTACTAGGACGTCAGAAGTGACATTGTCATAGCCGGTACCGGCGGAGGCAAAGCAGACGCCGCCGGCGAAATCAGAAATCTTGTAGGCGGGGTCGAGGTAGGCGGGGACGAAGGGGCGGAGGCCGATGGCTTCAGATATCAAGTCGGGCGGGACCCGGCCATTGGAAAACCTCCCCGTGGGTCGTTGCCCGATGAAGTCGCGGCCGTAGGGCTCGAAATTGCTCTTGAGAAGGGTGGCGATCTGGTTGTTGTTGCCGGAATCCACGGAGGAGTCGCCGAACACTATCACCGCCGGGACTTTTCCTGCGCCGGCGAAAGCGGCGCGTAGAGGCAGAGTGAATAAGAATATTAATAATACTGATGGGGCGGAGATGAGCGGCTGGGGGAGGAGCGTCATTGTTTGTTTGGTTTTTGGGATTTATCTCCGCCGCGAAGTTCAAGAATTGTTCATTAATTGATGGGTGAGGAAGAGCAGGGGAGGATGGGAGGACTGGGGATGAAGGAAGAAGCAGAGGGATAGTAAAGAGGGAGTTAGTGCACCAACTTTATACTAGTTGTGTACTTAAGTCCACACCACCAATCCTTCAAAAAAATAAAAAAACGGGTGGACATTGCGCAGTTGGCAAAGACAAGGAGTGTCAAATAAGTAAGACCCGAGTTTGATTCATGACAACTGCATTTGGAAGCAACTATGATAAGTATAAAGTCTCTACAAGTACCCGTTGTAAGTTACCCTCTTTACTACCAATTTGCAACCAAAGTCAAATTACCTTCTCGATCTCAGTGACCGTTCGGTCCAGGATTGAGGGGTCATCAAGAATGGAGCTCATCTTTTAATTTTCTGTTCAAAAGAAAAAAGTTCACACCACCAAAACCAATGTTTAAAAAAAGTGCACCGACTTATTAAGAGATTTTTATGGAAGAAATGTTGCACTAATGTTATACAAGAGGTACAAGAGAAGAGAAATAATAGATAATAGCTCCACTTTTTTATTCTCCTCGTGTAAGTCATTCCACTCGAGACCTAAATATTGAGCCTTTTTTTGGAGGGGGGAGGGGGGTTGACTCGTATCGTAGATGACGACAATTGGCTCGACAGATTCTCTTCAAGTTGGGTACGAGTGTCTCTCTTCTTTCTTAATTGCGTATGGGATCCACAAGAACAATCATTATACTGAAAGTTCGTGGGGGCGCAGCGGATAACACCAAACACAAGCTATGCAAACAAAACAACCAGCTGTGCTGCAAAGAAGACGCTGCATCACTGTTACAGTAACAGATGACGGACAGTGTGCTATAACACTTCTCTGTCACAAGCACGCACACAGAAGCAGATGATGCACAGAGCGTTACAGCGTCTACTGGGCAGAATGTTGTAACTATAAAATGCGTAAAAAATGACACCAGATATGTTTACGCAGTTCGGAGCAAATTCTCCTAATCTACGGGGCCCACGTCCGTGTAATAGCCCTCCACTAAATCATTAGATGCAAGTTACATCGGTACATAACAACATGATGAGACACACTTCTCCGAATTGTTTTGACAAAACTTCTAATCTAGGATTTCTAACCCGAACTCTGTTCAGATCCGCTTCGGCTATCACATCTCCACCGAGATCACGAGGACAAACGTGTTGGCATCCCACTTCTTAAGCTCTGGTTCATCTCCTGGACGTCACGATCTATTTGGCGTTGAAGATCTCCTCCTTCATGTAGATCGTAACCTTCTTCACGCATGGGAAGCTCCGGGACGCGATGGGAATGCTATACATCAGCGTATATTCTTTATTTTTCCTCTCGATCGCTCCACGTAATTCCCAGGGACCTGCTTCGTTTTTATAGGCTCCTCGTAACACAATCCTAGTAGGAATAGGATAGTAGAAGTTGGCTTAAACTCTACTTCCTTAATCTTGATCCACAAGTAGCCTAAAGAGTTGGGATTCCTTAGCATGTACAGCTGGAGTTATTATCATGTAATCTCAGTCCTAATAGGTCTCTATATCAGATTGCAGCTTAAAATCCCGTGCTCAGACCTCTGATCCCACACAGTGTGTTGCAGCATCGTGCTGTAGCATCTTCTGTGTCAACCTCGAAAACTGCAGCAACTCTAGAAGTCTAAATAAAATAAACCTCTCCTAACAAATAGAGGTTTCTACCTAGTAAAACACCTAACAAATATGGGATTCTATTTTGCCAAAATATTAGCCAACACCCTAGAACCAACATATACTAGTCTCTTTATCCACATGGATCGACTGGGATACTAATTTTGCTTATCTATGTTGATGATACTATTGTCACATATAATTTCTTTGTGCTCGTTCAAGACTTTATAACTCATATGTGTGGCGAGTTTCGATAAAAAAATTTGGGTCTTCTTTATTATTTTATTGGCCTTGAGGTTTTTCGTACCTTATCCTCTCTCATTATTTTACAAAAAAAGTATGCTACGTACTGAACTTCTTCATCGTGTTGGCTCGAAGGATTGTAAGCTCACTTTGACGCCCTTGTCAGCTCGACATGCAAGCACTGCAGGACAGGGGGAGAACCATTTCATGATCCTAGCATGTTAAGGAATATGGTAGAGGCCTTCAATATCTCAATACTACTTGGCCTAACATTCAGTTTGCTATGAATTATGGTGTCAGGGCATGCATAACCCTGCAGAGAAGGATTTTCAGAATTTGAAGCGGGTTATGCAGTTTGTTAAAGGGACTATTAATAGATATCTAGTGTTCCAGTCTAGTGATCTAAGGTTATGGGCGTACTCTGATTTGTATTGGGCGAATGATAAGACGGATGGATGCTTAGTCACAGGCTACCTGATCTATCTTGGACCAAATCTGGTATCCTGAAGTATGAAAAAACATATTTGTGTGCCTAAATTCTTTACTAAAATATAAAGCTCTATCGTGAGTGGCCTTTAAGTTTGTGCGGTTCACTTATGTTCTGGATGACTTGCGCATACTAGTCTCAACCCCACAACTCTTTTGTAATAAACAATTTGTTATATATCTCACGAAAATTCTAATATTCCATAAGTGCATGAAACATATGGGCACAAATAGTAATTTTGTTTGCGGACAAGGTATTGCTGGCATTATGAGTATTTCTCATGTCGTTTCTGAAGATGAACTTGCTGATACGCAGACTAAAATGTTACCTAAGCTATGCTTCTAGGCTTTCATTCGTAACACGACGTTCAGCTTGAGGGGAGATGTTAGACAATTAATACTAGTCAATATTAGATATGTTTAAAATCTCTTTGATTTTTACTGAGATGTATCTTTCTTTGTATATTCTCTTGAGAAACAAAATTATTCTATCATTCAATAGTAGGTGTTACGTTGTATGTTATCATGTCACTTGCAATACTTAGTCATTTCATTCACCGCGCTGGTCTCTGATTATTGAGAAGCCAAGAGATGTTCTTTTTCTTCTTTTCCTTTTTCCTCTTTCTTCTTCTTTAATGACTCCCTTGAGGAAGCAATAGCCATCTCGTTCAACCCAATGGCTTCTTGTGAGACATCCACCAATTCTTACGAGGCTATAAACCTTGAACAAGTTAAGTGATAGTCTCTTGGTATGTTGCCAGCGAGTCCCTCCGAAAATCCTTCCGAAGGTCGCCTTAAGACATGACCACTTAAAGCATGACGATGAAGGCATGGTCTCCCACATCTCGAATTAGGGTCGGCCCGTGGGTGGCCCCGAGCAGCCCGATCGGATCGCGTATAGGAATTACAAGGTCTAATTTTTTTTAAAAATATTTTATATATGTATACATTATAAAGTCTAATATTTTTATGGAGTATGATAGGTTTCAAACATAGGTACTTTGAGTTGCCAAGGTCATGAAATTCTTAGGACCAACCCTGTCTTGAATGTTGGTGGCCTTCTACCACAAACCGAGAAGAAGTATCGACCTTGACCTTCATCTCCTTGTGAAAAGTCTCTGGTGCGCACTAGGATATGGTCTAGCTAAGTTTTGTTGCTTGGGTCACCGTGATTTACCTCCTCTCACATTCCCGTCGAGTCGGGGGTGAGGGGCGCTCGGGGTGAGCGATTTCACCTTTTGGAGAATGATGATGTGGAGTTGCAAGTAGGGATGCTTGTGATGACGACTCGAGGCAAAGTAGTCAAAGATTATCTTTTTATTCTTTTTCATTCTTATATACTTCCTCTGTCCGTAAAAGATCTTCTCCTTTCATCTTTTTGTTGTCTCTAAAAGATATTTCCTTATTTATTAAAAGACTATTTTTACATTTTACTTTTTCATAACCTACCTATCACATCATACCTTTTTACTAATAATCTACACATCACATCTTACTTTTATTCATCACATCAAGGGTATTTTCAGAAAGTCAACATAACAATATCCCTTCCTTGAACTCTCAAAAAGTCAATAAGGAAAGATGTTTCAAGGACGGAGGAAGTATTAAACACTATTTTTATTTTATTAAATGACCAATGAAAATAGGTAAAAAATGAATATAATTTGATATTCCGAATAGTAAAAGAGATCATTTAGGGGTGGGTAAAAAACCGAACTAGCATGGTACCATGTCAGACCACAATAGTAACAAACTGTTTATAGTATTTATAAACGGGATTGATTTTTTCCATCACAAACCGAAACCAAACTGATATCAAACGGGACGGGACAGTGATATAAATATTTAAAACCGATTATCACGCATTGAGCCCTTCAAAGTTATATACTTTGAAGGGCTCAACGAATTATTTATCTACTTCATCTTACCGTATATTGAGTACTTTGTATGGTATTATTAATTTTAAAAAAATTCATTAGTATTGTAGTGGATATTATATTTTATTTATTATTCTCTCAGTTTGTGAATGTTCAATTCTTCCCGTGTTGGCTTGGCACGTTTATTAAGGAGCAGTAAAAAAATTCCAAATTTTCAAAAATGCACGTACTATAAACTTTTAAATCTCATTTTCTTATTAAAAAGTAATAAAAAAATTATTGGTGATAAAATAGAAGGGTATTATTGAAATTTAACCTTAAAAATTATACTAAGAAAGGAAATAGGAAGAATATTTCTGGTAATTCCAGATGAGCCAAAAAGGAAAGTGTGAAGAATATTTCGAGACGAAAGGAGTACTACTATTACTATTATTTTTTAGAATTATTAATAGTCTGATATTATATGAATTAAAAAAATATTTTTAAAATTTGAACTTGTTATTTTCGATTCTTTATGTTTATGATTCTTTTTAATTCAAAATCAATACTTGTATTTAACAAAGTTGTACTTTTGTATACAAAATTATGTTTTAATTTTAATATTCTTTGAGTGATGCATGTTTTTTTGCACAAATTGAGCATAAGTATGGTATTGTACCGTTTCGTTCCAAAACAAAATGGTATTAAAAGGTTTTAGGGTTCATACCGTACTCATACAGAACCATTTAAATAAGAACTGTCTGTAATAAGTTCCGGTAGTGTCACGGACCGCACCGACTTCGTGAATTAATTTCTCAGTTACCCGAGCACCATTTTTGGCGTATAATATGTCAAAACACTCATCTCACTTACGAGATTAATCGTCAATAATTATTTCGAAAAATAATTTTGTGGACTCTACCAAATTTATATCCGAAAAATATCCAGTTTAAACTAAAAATTCCAACATGAGTTTCAAAAAAAAGAATATTGTTGTAGGAGAGAAACTTTCTCTCCTACAACAATATTCTTTTTTTTTGAGGGCCGGTCCCGAGAATTCCATGGCCTGGGCCGAGACGGGAAAAAAGGCCTAAAGGTCTTATTCCTAATGACTTAACGAATTAAAGTGTGTAAATAAATTATATTTGAATTACAATTAACGTAATAATGATTTACTAAAATGAGTGGATCAAAATCATAGTAAAGGGTTTATATATACTTTTATCCCCAAATCAATGTTCTGGAAATTAGTCCGATTGTCAATCCAAACGAGCTAGTGGGTCAAGGGTTAAATAGTTGAACC